AAAAAAAAAAAAAAAAAAAAAAAAAAAAAAAAAAAAAGAAAGAGCTAGACCACTGAGAGGAAGGCCCTCTGTCTTACAGGCATGGCATGACTGTGGCACTCAGGAACTCACAACAGTTGCATTTGCTTGCAAAGGGAATAAACAGGCAGTAAACATTCAGTCATAGACGGAGATGGTTAAGTGTGGGTCCCAGCCCAACATAAGGGCTTTGAGGAAAGAGGAAGTTACTGTCTTCAGGTGATGTAGCAACTGGTTCTAGGGGTTAGCTCCACATTGGAGGGAGGCAGAGAGGCTGGTTAAACCCAGTGGGCTACAAAGTAAAACCAAAACCAAAACCAAAATAAAAAGACACAAGAATGAGGTAAGGATTGGTAGAAGGAGGGGAAATTTGTAACAGTGGAGGGAGGTTAAGAGGATAGAGGGAGTGCTAGCAGAATATATTATATACACTCACAAAACTGTCAAGAAATAAATTAATTTTAAAATATATCACAGAAAGATGGCATTATACAGCACTTGGACATGCCTCATTTCACTGAAAATTCAAACACAGAAATCTACTGCTCATTTCTGGTACATAAGACAAGGACAGCACCATATAAATATTGAATATGTAGTAAAAGAAAAGGTGCTTTAAAAGCTCACATCCACATGGAAAACCAGTTAAAGTATTTATTAAAGGAGAACAGAAAAAGAAAGAAAAGGGAAGGGATGGGAAGGAAGAAAAGTGAAGGGAGGAGGGTAGTAGAGGGAGCGGAGAAAAAAGGAGGGGAGAGAAGAAAAGCGAAGAGGAAGTGAAGGAAGGGGACGGCGAGAGGGGAGTAATATCTTCTACATGTGACTAGTTCTCATGTTAATTCTGGCATAATTCTGTTTGATATCCTGGGAAATAAAGGGATGTGGTATTTTCGTTAATTTGGTATTTTAAAGTCGGAATCATTATGGACTGGGAAGTTGGCTAAGGAGAACTGAACAGAAAGACATAAAACAATGTGACTAAGGAGGTATGTTCCAGAAAGAGAAACGGGCAGTGGTCCATAGACCAATGCTCTGTGGTCTTCAAATCTCTTATATAAATGTCTTCAAGCCCACTGACTTCATTCAACTTTGCTAGCTGACAGTGACAACGACAAAACCAATGGGGTGGGAAACTGAGTCTCAGCAAAGGCAAGAAAATGGCCACAAGGAGGGACACCAAGTACAATATGGATGTAAAGTTTCATATAACCCTTTATAACTACGTGTACAGACTCCTGAAAACAAGCCATCATCTTATAAAACCCAGGAAACTCCTGGGCACAAATAGGAAGCTCAGAGCTCAGAGGACAGAGACATCTTATGGTTTTTTCTTTTTTCTTTTTTTTTTTTTTTGGTGGTGGTACCCAGTCAGGGTTTCTCTGTGTAGCCCTGGCTGTCCTGGAACTCACTCTGAAGACCATCCATAAACTCAGAGATCCGCCTGCCTCTGTCTCTGGAGTGCTAGGACTAAAGGCGTGTACCGCCACACCTAGCTGTGTTATAAGCTACACTATATCCAGTACAGTGTGTCCTCCGAACACCGGAATCCCCAGGACACATGGAGTAGACAGCAACAAACAATCTAGGACCAAGGCTGAGGCTCAGGAGCATGAGATACTAAGTTTTAAACACAGGCAGAGTAAGGCCCACAGGCCCCATCCAGCTCGACCCGGCCTTCACGGAAGAACTTCTCTTGAAGCACAGCCCTGCTGTGTGTTGCAGCGGCTGTGCTCTCACTAATCACTCACTGTCGGTTCCAGAAACCCAAAGTCACTGTCTGCTTTAGTCGCAGCACACTGCCTTAAGTCAGTGGTTCTCAACTTGTGGGTCACAAACCCTTTGAGGGCTGACCAACCATATTTACATTATAATTTATAACAGTAGCAAAAGTACAGTAGCAGTAAAGAATAATTTTATGGTTGGGGTCACCACAACATGAGGAACTGTAAAAGGGCCTCAGAATTAGGGTTGAGAACCACTGTCCTAGACTAACACTGATACACTTCCAGCTTCTCCAGTAAATGCTTCTAGAGTTGCTGCCACCCTTGCTGGGCAAATAGGACATGAAAAGGTTCTGAGCCTGCTGGCCAGCCTAAAGGCCAAAACAGTGAGGAATGGGGCAGAGTTGTTAACCACAGCATGCTATTCTCAAGGCATCCATTCCTCTGCTGTTGTTTCAGACACTCAAGGCTGTGATCTTGATCCCATGTGGGAGTAGCACACAGGGATCTAAGATGTGGCCAACTCTGGGAGGCAGGTTATAGTTGTGACTGGGTGTAGCCAATGCCTGGCTTCTCCACCTGGATCCAAGAACTTAACACAAGCTGTGGAGGAGTCAGGGTGGTAATTCTGAGAATATCTGAAGGAGGGAAAGGTGCCCCAAGAAGGTCAGAGAGACAAATGCTTGCCATGTGAACAAGAGAATGGCAGTCCACTCTCCAGCACCATAAAACACAATGGATGCAGTAGCGTGTTCTTGCAATGCTAGCACTGGGGAGACAGGGACACAGATCCCTTGGCTGTGATGGCCAGCCTGGCCAGTGAGAGGCAATCAATCAGATAAAAAAATAAGATGTCTCCTGAAGGACTGTCCGCTGGCCTTCACATACATGTATGTGCATGTACGCCTGCATGTACTCATGAACACACGCATAAAGAATTCCTATTAACAGATGCAAACCAATCATACCCAATACTCATATCAAAGTGAAGAGCCCAGGTCACACTTTTTTCAAAGGATTCTTTGTTAGAAAAATTATGCGCTGTGCCCATATGTGCCAATGACAATTAAATTTGGCAGAGTGAGTTTCAGTTATGTGTACGGTCAATTCAAGAAGATTTCAACCAGCATGGTTGGCAGACATCTGCAATCCTAGATTTGAGGCAGAAAGACTAAGTTCAAGGCCAGCCTGAGCCACCCAGTGAGATGCTATCGCAAGGATCAAGCAATCCATCTATCCATATATACATAAAATAATTTTTAAGAATTAACTATATGTCTATAATACATTTTAAAGACTTATTTTAATTTATGTGTATGTGTGTATTGCAAAATGTGTGTGCAGGTGCCCACTGAGGCCAAAGAGGGCATCAAATTGCCTGGAACTGAAGTTATAAGTGATTGTAAGCCACCAACATGGGTGGAGGGAACTGAACTCTGGTTCTCTGCAAAGGGAGCAAGAGCAAGCATTTGTAGCTATCGGGCTAGCTTGCTAGCCTGACCTATTTATGTTAATAGAGGTGTCTTGCTAAAACCAACTTGGTTTTCACCATCCAGGAAAAATCTACGAATGAAAACAGTCATAATTCAGAGTTTAAGTAATCCCGTGTCAAGCAAGACAGATTCTATCCACTTTCAAATAGAAAAGACTGAAGTGATGGTTAAAAGCACAGTGTTTTTCTAAGTCCCCAAAGCTACCCTGGTCAGTTTCTTACCTTTGATGGAGGGGTTGGCAATGCAGCTGGAGGTTCTGGAAGCCTAAGGAAGTTAAAAATAAGAACCATGGTCATGGCTTCTCATAGACAACAGAGAGCCTGGGCCAAGGCACAGTGAGTCTTATCTGGTGATGAGCTGACCTCCACGCACTATCCTGCCCACCTCAGTGAAGATGGCAGTGTCACTGAGTGAATGAGATCTTGCCTCTTATGTCTTTACACTGGAAATGTCTATGCAGAAGAACAGAGTTAGAGCCCATTTGTTGAAGAGAGTTGCTTTGCTTTCACCTCCATGATTGCATTTTGGCAGAGGAACATCTTTTTCTTCATAAATGACAGTGCTAGCACTTATTTAAAGTGAAAACCGATGTCACTGTTGGGGAAAGCCACATGAACGTCATCTTTTATCTATCAAAGAGAAGTGCAGTTTGCATTATCTTTCACCTAAAATATTTAACCCAAATTTCAGCAGAAAGAAAAGAATCAACACAAACATTGGAAGGAAACAAAGGCCTCTATGAAGACACACAGCTGGGGGATCCAGAGGGACATCAAGCAGGAAGACGGTTAGTAAAAGCAAGCTTCCCACACCTCTAACTAGTAAAGAAACCAGCTTCCACAATTTAGTTTTAACTGTCAACTTGACACAACGTGGAATCACCCAGGAAGAGGGAACCTCAGCTGAAGAACTGCCTTGAACAGACTGACTGGCCATGAGCTACTGTGGGCGGCACCATCCCCAGCGAGAGTGGGTGCAGGCTGTAGGAGAACGCTGCATAAGCAAGCCAATAAGCAGCTTTCCTTACTACCATGGTTTCTACTCCAGGTTCTGCCCAGGCTTCCCTTGAAGATTGACTGTAACTTGTAGGACAAAATAATCCCTTCTTTCCCCAGATTGGTCTTGGTTAGTAATATATCACAGCAACAGAAAGCAAACTAGGACAGTTCAGTTGGACATACGGAATTTGTTCTAAGTAGCAACTATAGTATTACCTATTATAGACTAAAGAAGAAAAAAAGAATTTAATCAGGATCATGTAAAGCTATTAATTCATCATACACAAAAAACTTTAATACAAACTACCAATACATTGAAAATTAACAAGAAAAAAAAGGAAGGCTTTCCTTTATAAAGCCTTCCTTTATAAAGGAAGGCTACAAATGATATCATCCTGAAGATGACTCTTGCAGCCATTCAGGACACTGCTCTGCAGGAAATTGGGCACTCAGCACCGTGACGGTACTTGGTGAAGATCTTATGACTGAGAACAAGACCTATTGTAGAACTTTTACATGCAATTTTTAAAATTATTACCATCACTTCCCATCTTTCTCTTAAAATGACCACAGAGAGCCAAATTAACTGTCATAAGGGATAAAATTTTAACACACGTTGTCCTCTAAAACTATACAAAGCAATAACTTTAACCCTAAACTTAAGTTGCTATAAGCAGTTTCTACCAAATCAAATCATTCCACTTAATGTCCAATAAAAATAGCTTCTAGTTTGCACAGTGTGACACCGCTCAGGGACAACAGCTCATCACCACCCACCATGCCATGGAGGAACCTATTGTCAGAGAGAAGAAAGAAGGAGCTCGTGAATCAGGACTGAAGATGAATGACACTTACTTCAAGAACTTAGACAAATCATCACTTAGTTCTTTAGAGATGTAATCAGAGATCAGACCATGGGCATATCGAACATAATCTTCTGAAAGAAACAGAATAGAAAATGAAAGAAAAATAATTAGAAATAATTATAGTGGTTTGAGTCAAACTGATTCAAGTTCAAATTCTTGCTCTCTGTGGCTTTGGGAATTCAGTCAAACTCTAGTTTCCATTTCTGCACTGGTGAAACAGGAATAACAAGGGCTGCCCATCAGTAAAGGAGAAATACAGTAGGCGAGGTGCAATATGGATGCCTACACAGTGGATGACCCTAAATACCACTTTACAAATTAAAGGCACGCACGCCAGCTTTCTTACTTCAAGTCCCAAACAAAATTACAAGCCAGTTGTAACAGCATGAACTATTTACATCTCTTTTTTTATGGCTGCTTTTTCACAAACTTGCTTCAATAAAGACAAAAGCTAATTGCCGAACAGGAATGGGTACGTTCACTTCAAAGAAATAAAACAAAATGAATAAAATCCTTTACATTTGTCTCTCCTAGGTATTTGCTTTGTAAGATCCCAAATATTTTATATACATATACTCTCTCTGTCTCTCTCTGTTTCTCTCTCTCTGTCTCTCCCACAGTAACAGATCAGGAAGAAAAACTGACTAAGCAGAATGCAGAATCAGTAAGTTTCCAGTTCTGGTGTTCAGCAGCAACCAAATTATAGCTCTGACATCAATGGAATACAGTTAAAAAGAAAATAAAATGTTTCCAAATGCCAATCATAGCTCAGCACTGTGTGTGGAAAAGGGGAGGAATGCAGTGTGCAACACAGGACAGGGACAGAGCACCAGGGCACATTTAAATACAAAGCCATCTCCAGGTTCACTCCTGCCTTCAAGCTAAGGAAGCCAAGTGTCTCTGTATTACTTTAAAAATGACAGTCCGGTCTTCAATCAGAGAGTCCAGTTGATGCAAAACCGAACACTTTCATCAGATCCTCCTTAAAATGTGCTACGAGTCTGGGTAGTAATTATTCAGTGAGGATAAGAAGAACCAAACTATTGTAAGAAAGCCTCGACACAATTCATTCGCTGCTTCTGATACCATACTGTTAGGCTTGAATCTGAATTGTTCCCCATGGGCTCGCCCTGTAAGCACTCATTTCCAGAGTGGGTGGTATTGGTCTGAAGGTTGTGGAACCTGTGGGAGGTAGAGCCCGGCCAGCAGACATCAGTCAGTAAAGAAGGCCTTTGAGAGGAATGCCTGCTCTTGGTTCTGGCTTCACTCTTGGCAACCATGTGGCACTAGTCCCTGCCATCATGGACTGATTCACTCCCTTCACCGCACCTTTTCTCATCGTGACGGCACCTCTCTGAAACCATGACCAGAAGAATCCTTTCTCCCTGTTCCTCTCAGGTGCTTCTGTCACAGCCACACAAATGAACCCGAGGTACACACCAAGAGGAAAGGGAAGGAGCAGGAGCAGGGCTAAGTGCATAAAGCAGCTTCATGGCAAGCAGTAAGAGCAGGCCAGCCAGAGCCTCTGCTGGGGAGTGCTCTGTCAGCACTGCACTCAGAGCAAGCGATCTATCAGCCAGAAGTCACCTATCTCTGGGACCACAAATTTCCATTTTTTTTTTTTTAATAATTAGGTCCATCTAAATAATCTCTATCATCCCTCTTCCTATATATATATATATAAAACTTCATATATATATATATATAAAATTTACTAATGATTGATTGGTTGATCTGCCCATCCATTAACCAACTGGACTCAGTCCTTCCTCTTCTTGATACTGGTGACCTCAGTCCAGCAACCGTGCTGCTCACTACTCCCAGCAACAGCTATACCTAGAGCAAGGTGCTGGAAGACAGATTCAAAACCTGCCTCTCACAAGCACTGTTCCTTGGGCTGCCTTGTGTACTGACTTCATTATTTTCACACAGTGCTGGGGACTGCTCCCAGGCTCTTGCACATCTTGGGCCACACTTGACTCTTGAGCTACACCCCCAGCCCATGTACATATTTTGTTTATGGCTGTTATAAGAAATTGGGAGTTGTAACTCAGAAGAAGTAAATGCTGATTTGGACTTAAAGTCAGAAGAATTTCTGCCTCACCACTGGAGAATATGAATTGTATTACTTTACTGTTTTTACTTAATTACACATATAAAGATAAAAGGCTACTATATTAGAAAAAGCAAAATAATGTACCTTAATAACCTAAAAGAAAAGGTGCCCCTAGTGAGATGTGGCCTTAAAATGAAAAGTAAAAACAAGGCTGAGGATGCAGTGTTGTGGTAGAGTCTGCCTAGCATGCTCAAGATTCCAGATTCGGTCCTCACATAGATAGAAGAAAGGAAAAAGGGGAGAAGAAAAGATAAAAATATGAACCAAAAAGACAAATTTGCCAAGAGCGTCAATTTTCCCTGCTAGAACCCAAAGGGCCCTCTCAGGAGAAGTGAAATACTGGTACTGTAAAGAGCAACCTCCCACTGGGGCCCTGAGACGAGATGACCTTCAGGCCAAAGGCCAAAGGCCAAAGGGCATTCAGTCTTAAAGCCTCCATCAGCATTTCTCTGGCTTCACTGTTGGCTAGCTAGGAATCAGGCACAGTCTTGTCTCTTATGACATGCCCCGTATGCCTGTCATATTATAAACCCTTCGTAAAGGGCAGCAAGAGTTGGAGTCACCATCCTCATTAGCACAAAACACTATTCACCAACCAATGATTCAAGTCACAATTAATGACAGGCGCCACCTAAGGGTGAAAAACGGTCAGTGTCTGAGATCAGAGGGACACCTTCCCACATCTGTGAGCACCCAAGGATGAACAGGAAGCTTCTGCTGTTTGAGACCCTCAGAGAGCAGATGCAGGGTAACTCGGAGGCAACCCGCTGCTTACCTTCCTTGTCTCTGGAAACCTGACCACCAGAGAAATATGCAGATGACTGTACCCGGGCTCCGACATTGACCTTATTGGCTTTCAAAGCTGCCACAGTTTGGTTAACCTAGGAGGTAAACACAGGGATGTACTTTCACATTAACTTCGGAATGCCATGACTTTTCAGATGGCTTTTGGTCCACTTGATAGTCTGGAAATATTTAAGCACCTAGAACTATCTTTGTCAGCTATGGTGTTTTGAATAAGAATGACCCCACTTTATTTTTTATTTTATTTTCCCTATCTACTGCAAGAATGAAGACTATTCTCAGGAACCAGATGGCCAACAACCCAGAAAATGTCGACATCACTATAAAGGGGCGCACAGTCATTGTGAACGGCCCCAGGGGAACCCCTAAACCCTTCTGGAAGGATTTCAATCACATCAGTGTAGGGCTGGCTTCTTTTTCTTCTCGGAAAGAAAAAGAAGAGGCTTTGGGTTGACAAATGATGGGGTAACAGAAAAGAACTGGTCACTGTCAGAACCGTCTGCAGTCATGTTCAGAACATGATCAAGGGTGTTACACTGGGCTTCCGCTACAAGATGAGGTCTGTGTATGCTCACTTCTCCCTCATTCAGGAGACTGGGTCTTTGGTTGAAATTTATCAGGTGAAAAATACACATTCGCAGGGTTCAGATGAAGAGAGGTGTTGCTTGTTCTGTTTCTCAAGCCCAGAGGATAATTAATCTTTGAAGGAAATGATATTGAACTTGTCTCAAATTCAGTGGCTCTGATTCAGTAAGCCATAATTAAAAACAAGGATATCAGATATCAGAAGTTTTTGGATGGTATGTATGTGTCTGAAAAGGGAACAGTGCAGCAGGCTGATGAGGAAGACTTCAGTTAGCGAGCTCCAGAAACAAGATCTCAAATTATAATTATGATTTGGGTTGTCTTTGGGAACAATAAAAGACTTATATTGAAAAAACAAATGACTCCATAGGCTCATATATTTGAAAGCTTAGTAACCAAGGATTGCAATTCTTTGAAAGAGAATTAGGAGGCGTGGCCTTGTTGGAGTAGGTGTGGCCTTGTTGGAGTAGGTGTGGCCTTGTTGGAGGAAGTCTGATTTCAAAAGCCCATGGCCAGGCTCAATCTCTGCTTCTCTCTGCCTAGGGATCAGGACATAGTTCTCAGCTCCTGCTCCAGTGCCATGCTCCCTGCCATGATGATAATGGACTAAACCTCTGAAACTGTAAACCAGGCCCCAAATTAAATACATTCTTTTAAAAAAGTTGCTTTGGTCATGGTGTTTCTTCACAGCAACAGAACAGGGACTAAGATACCAGCTGTCAGAAGGCGAGATGGCTGCACGGTTTAAGAAGTGGAGCCTCAGCCTGAATGATCTCAACACATGGCCTTTCTGAGACCCCTACCACATGGTGGAAGATGCTGGGAGAATGTAGAGAAATGACTCTAGAATTAACCTGCCCCTCTCTGGTTAGGTGAGCCACATGTAAAAACAAGAGCTCCTGTCATTCAGGGGCAGGACCATGCAATCAAAGAAAACTAGGTTCTCCTCAACCTTGGATCTCTACAGCCCCGTACCTTTTTAGCCAGCCACTTCAGTGTCTTCTCTGTGCTATATCTGTAGTACTTCTTGCTGTTTACTTCTGCATTGAATTAAAAGAGAAAACATAAGAACCTCAGTATAATGAATTAAACAAAAGTCATAAACTTATAACAGGAAATACATGCACAAACTGGTAATTTAAAGACATTTCATAGCTATTTGTATTATTCAAGAACTCAGGACATAAACCTGAGAACATACTTGAGATAGAAAAACAAACAAACAAACAAACAAACAAACAAACCCAATCGGAACTGGCTACCTCAGAAATCAACCACCACCAAGCGAATAGGAGTTTAGAAATTCCCCAACTCATACAAACAACTCAGAAGAAAACAAATTAAAAAATGTGGCCAAGTAACAAGCTAAGCAATCTTATTTTTTATGAACATCACTCCAATGTTTTCAATAGAACACATCCCTTTACAAGAAAAATGGAAATCCCAAGGTTTGGGGTGGGAATAGAAGGCAGGCAGACAGCTGGGAAATTCACTGTGTATATTCAGGAGGGAAAAGACACCCAACAACTTAGTAACTATTGAGTGCTTCCCCAGTGGGATTAGTGAAGCCTAAAAGACAGACATATCTGCCTCTTGATGTATTACCAATATAATCAGGAGGATTTAGATTCATGGTGACCTCAGTGTGGTCCTTGACAGGGATGAAAGTCCCCCTCTCTTATAAATGATACTTCCTTTCTTCACAATGCACCTGGCTTTATATGCTGAGTTATTAAACCAGGACCTCCTGTGTGACACTTTATTTTCAGGCTCTCTTCTTCCTCCCACCAGGCCTTCCCTGCAGCCATGCAGGAGTCATGTTTACGACCACTGGAAAGCCTACGACCAGTACAGACTCCACAGGGAGCCATAAAGAATGAGCTCCCCCTCCTCCCTCTGGGCCCCAGGAAATGGAAACTGCTTTTCTAGGGTAGTTTATTGATGGCGATTAAATGACGCTGAGCCTGAGGCTCAGTGTCTCCTCCCCCGTGCATGTGGCTGACAACTTGCAGGGCCAAATGCAGCAGCATAGGGAGGGGTGGCCCTACACAGCCATCCCTGAGCATGTCACTGGAAGCGTAAGAAGCAAGCCCGTTCTATCACGCGTCTAAGAACTGTTGCTCCTCTAGGCCCAGGACTGCGTGATCAAGGCCCACTGCAGTACAAGGCTATTAGCCTGGACTGTGCTCCTCTGTAGGCCATCTCTCACCCCGTCCACAAGCCAGACACTATGAGCACTCAGGCACGCAATGAAGGTGCACTGTTTGGTCACTGGTTAGAAGCTTCACTCACACCCTAAGAGAATTTCCAGAAACCCTCAGTGCTCAAGCGTCCCATGAAAGATCTACCTCTGCTGGTCACTTCTTTGTTCTGCTCTCCAATATCCCAGAAGAACCCCACTTCCTAAGCCCCTTGAGGTAGGCTCTCCGACCCATTGAGAGGGGAGTCAGGCTGAGCTCCCCATCTGGGTTCTTTGCACATCCAGCTTGTGCCATTATCTCGGGATGTGGCATCAGTCTCAGAAGCTGCTTCCTCCAATATACAGGAGGAGGGGATTCCCTGAGGGGCTGTTGTGAGCATACCAGGAGATAGCACACACAAAATCAAAAGATGACAATGGCATTTGTGAACAGTAGTAGCCTGCTACTGACATTTCCTCAAGTTTTTTCACATATTTCTTCTTTGATGGTCAGAACAAATCTCAGGTGAAAAATTTTTTGGCACTCTTTTTGGTTTGCTCTTTTTTGGTTTTGTTTTTTGAGACAGAATTTCTTTGCACAGCCTTGGCTGTCCTGGAAGCAGCTCTGTCGAGCTGGCCTCAAGTTCAGAGAGATCCACCTGCCTCTGCCTCTGCCTCTGCCTCCTGAGTGCTGAGATTAAAAGCACCATCACTGCCTGGTTGATTTTATCACTCCAAAGAGACCTCATTGGGCTGGGTAGTGGTGATGCACGTCTTTAATCCCAATACTTGGGAGACAGAGGCAGGCGGATCTCTGTGAGTTTGAGGACAGCCTGGTCTACAAATGGAGTTCCAGGACAGCCAAGGACACACAGAGAAACCCTGTATCAAAAAACCAAATGAGAGAGAGAGGCCAAGATCCCATTGGAGCCACTTTAAGTAAGATGGCCAAAGCACTTGTAAACAGTGGCCTTCCTGCCCCAGGTGTGGGTCCTAAAGCAAGGAGGTTTCTTGACTCTGGCATTTCTGCCCACCAATTCTCTATGGGAAAAGCCCCTCCAACATGGTACCATTAAACTGGTTTCTTTGGTCTTTCACCTGCCATCGCTCCTTGGATTGTTTTCCCAGCTCAGCTTTCCTCTTTGCCAAGGCCAACTGCACCTTTCTCAACAAAGCTAACCCAACCCAATGGGAAGTGTAACACCTTAAATGAACCTAGTAAGTCCACAGCAGAATGGTTCACCTGCCCCCTTAAACCATATGCCCCTAGTTAGTGGGGCTCAAATCTTGGGGCAGCATCACTCCTGTGTTGTCTGAATACCCTCTTGAGACAGACTGGAGGTGGGATGCGTGGAGTGAATCAGAAGGCCTACCTTCTAGTGTGGGGTCAGAAATGAGATTTTTCAAGAACTAGACACTACATAGGTACTGACTAGACATTATGAAGGTATTCTGTTCATTGAACGAGTGCACGTATCCATTTTTAGTGTCTAATACTTGAGCAGTATGGAGAAATCATGCAGGTAATCGCCCTTGTGATTTTAACCACTTTACCTACTATTTTGGCAAAATCTAGGCTCACCAGAGAAGGGACTCTCAATAAGAGATTATCTAGATCAGGTTATCTTGTGGGCATGTCTGGGGGGAAGGCTTGCCCACTGTGGGTGGTGCCATTCCTGAGCTGTGTAAGAACCGGCGGCAGAGGCAGATGACAAGCAGCAAGCACACAGGCCTGAACTTGCTGCTCTGTTCACGACTGTGGGTGTAACCTGACCACCATGACTGCCCTGCTATGATGGGCTGTGACCTAGAACTGAGCCAAAAAAACAAAGTTCTCCCCTGAGTTCCTTCTCTCAGGGCTTGTTATCACAAAAGCATGAGATACACCCCCACCATAAAAAACTTCCTTCAACACCTACAGCTTTCCCACCTTTCCCATCTCAGGTGGCCACTGAGCAGCAAGTGTGGGTTCCTTTCTGCTTTATTCCAGACATTCCAAACGCGGAGACCCTTTAATACAGTTCCTCATGTTGTGGAGACCCCCAACCATAAAATTATTTCATTGCTATTTCCTAACTGTAATTTTGCTACTGTTATGAACTGTAATATGAGTACCTGATATACAAGGCTATCTGATATGTGATCCCCAGGGGGTCATGACCCACAGGCTGAGAACCACCGCTCTAGAGCCTCCCATAAATGGGTCATGAGGAGCGCATTCAACACTGAGAGATGTGTCCATGCTGCTCTCTGCAGCAGCTCCTTCCTTAGAATTGCAGGGCAGTGCTGGCTACAGAGACTCCATTTGCTGACCTATCCAAGAGAGCCATTGATTTGTTCTAGTTCTGGACTACTTAGGATGGTTGTTATTTAAAACAAACAATCAAAACAAAATGGAAAAACAAAACAGAGAGGCTGCATCCTCACTCAAATTTTTGCACTGGCACATATCTTAATATGTCCAGAAAAAAGAATTAGGAAAAGAACTGCCAAGTAGTCATAACTGTGTCTGTAAAAGAAAAACAAATATATTTATTAGATGAAATACAAGATATACCTTTTTATACTATGGTTCTGTGTCCTGAGAAACACTGGAGTTCCTCAAGATCATACAAATTGTTGTCCTTTTTTTTTCTTCTGAAGTTAAATAATTTTTACTTTTGTATTTAATTCAACAAGCTACTTTAAATTTCTTTTTCCATGGTTCAAAAATCCCTTCCCACACTGAACTTTCAAAACACACGACTCCGTACACAAAGCTGCCCTCTGTAAGTGACCCCCACCCCCATCAACACCTTGCTTCCTGTAAGTCTTACTTTGTGTGGGTCCCTTTTTTCTGTTGTCCCTTCATGGATGACAATACTGTCCAAGAAGAAAGGCGGTTTTACAGTGACTTTTCAATTGCCTGACTTTTCACTCTTCCTCATATCTCTGAACCTTTTAAGACTTCTGCAGATGAAATCCTTATCTGAACTGGTCTAAAGGAGAAAGTATGTTCAGTATTTTCTAAGAACGACTTAAGGAGTCTGCCACAGATGTCGTTATCAGAGCGAGAAAGTTCACTTTAAATGGATTTAATGGCTCACTTTTGTCAATTGCCTTTTCTGTATTTACTGACACGATCAGTTTTTTTATAATATACAAATTTTCTCAGCAAACTTTGTATTCCTGATTCAATATTTTTTTTTAATATTCTGTTAAGTATTCCTTTCAATCTGTGATGACCAAGGATGTTAGTCAAATTTTCTTTTCATAACAACTTTGATTTTGTTATTGGGACCATTTCTGATCTCACAAAATTTTAGTTTCACAATTTTTTTTCTTCATCTATTTGCTGAAAATGCCTGAGCAAATTGTCTTGTTTTGAGTATTATTTCTTCCTTAAAGTAAAATACAATTTACCGTGAAGCCAGGTAGGCTTTCTATCTAGAAAGTTTGTACATCATAAATTTTGAAGCTAAATATTCCCCTGATAGGCTATTCAAGCCCAAACCACTGGTCCTCATCACATATACACACGAGCAATGCCAAATGCCTCAACAGGCTGGATTCGTTTATGCATGTGTATATGAAATTCAAAAAGAGGTCATGAATTTAAGAGGGAGTGGGGGGGACACAGTTGTAGAAGGGGAGGGTGAGGTGGAAAGGATGTAAACACAGCACTCATGAATGAAAATCTCAAAAACCTAAACCAAAAAAAGGGGGGGGGAAGAAAAAAAAAAAACCTCACATACATGCACAACCTAAATTTAATTCTTGTGAATCAGTGAGTTATGTAATATCTGCACATGGCTGAAAGATTTATACTGGCCTCAAGCATCTGAAAAGATTGAATTTACAAAATTAAGGTGAAAAACGTAACTTTATGATTAAATAACATGTTCAGTAAGTGGGTAATTGGTGTGCAAACCTGAATTCCCCCAATGATTTGCTTAACAAATTGCCTAGAACACTTTCCATTTCTATGTTTTCAAGGTTTCCCATAACCAAAAATCTCGGAGTCTCCCTTCCCCTACCTCCTGGGTTAGAATATTGGCCACCGCATAGTCAGTTTCTACTATCTGCCTGTTAATTACATGCCTAGCACTGAGCATGGCTTGTACTATGAAAAAGGCTAAATCAAAGCCAAGTTCATGACCCTCTTAGTCGTTTTCTGAGTCTCTCCACTAATTGTGAGCCTCCTTGCTCAGAAACCTGTTCTGAGACCCTGAATCAGTAACTAGATGAGAGAATCTCCCCACTGGTAATGCTGGCAGGGCATAGGCCACTTACAAAGGGACTGTGGCTGTCCTTACCCATCAGGGAAAAAGCAGCACAGGAGGTTCCTATGTACCAACTGGACTCAATCTGCTGCTAACACCACAGACCCTGGAACCTGCATCTAGGGCGAATACTCATACATAGATGGGAGAATATGAGTAAATAAATATCAGAGAATAGAACCAAATACTAATTTATGATAGAGGAATCCGAGCATAAATAAGCAGCCAGTGTTTAACACCATCACTGAGAATGACCTGGAAGATAGATATACAATGCCTAAAAACCCTCGAGAGCTCTGCAGGACAGAGAAGTGTCTGCTCCTAAAGCCAGGCTTACTCTCTCCGACTCCTTCCTATCGCTCTCCTTTTGCTACAGTAAAGGAAATTATTAGGAAGAGATACACCACCTAGATTCTAGGAGAGTATCTTGGAGTATTACACGGCTGTAGGAAGGAAGGCAAGAGACATTATCACATGCGTCCAGATCCTGTCTTGATACTCTTTGTAACGTTAGTCACATTACTGAAGCTCTTTGAGTCTCAGGTTATGACAGTGACAGAAACTACTGTAAAGACTGATGACATATGAAGCGCATGTCATGCTTACGTTTCACAGGCTCTCATGGCCTGGGCTCAATGCAGAACTGGACATTTCCTGGAGATCTTCATGGGGACCATGGCCACCATGGACAGTGCATGGCCTCTGCACACGTTTGCAGGAGCGAGGCCAGCGGGGTGCACGCACACTGACATAGCTTGTTGGAGGGTTTCCTTTTGGAAGATGAGGCACGAGTGGTCTTCTGGCCTCTTTGTTCTCTCCAGTTTCAAAGGTTTTGGTTTTGAACTTTCTATTATGTAAATTTACAGACTACTGGTCATTATTATGGGAGGGCTGGTTAGAAAGGTGCCCAGGCCCATGGGGCACCAGAGATTCACTTTCTGGAGGACGTTTAACCGGAATCACTTTTCTCTGCTTTGTTATCATTTAAACACAAAGAGTAAACATTTGAGATAGAGGGTTTTAGAAACTTTCTGTGTGCTGGTCTATGTGTTAGGCAATGACAAGAAGTAAAGGGAACAGCGAAACAGAGGTTCACCTAATGACACAACAGATGGTTGGGTAATGGGGTGTGCCCTCTAAGACACAGACTTGAAGTGAGCAAGGGATTACTAGATCCTGATTCATGACAGGTTTTTCTACGTTTTGACTCAGATGACCATTTTAATACAGTGCTAATGGCAGAATTCTGCATACAGGTTAACTGCATTTTTGAAATCATGTTAAAGGGACTGAAAATGACTTGCAGTTACACTATTACTTTAGCCTTCAAAAACAGTTACAGTCAACTTTATTTATGTCACCCACAGAAAAACAGCACCAGGAAGATCTTTAACGAGATGATTCTTATAGTAAAGGTGCCATATACCACTCAGATCCAAAATGAATCCCCAAGTGTTGACCACATAGGAATTAGCAGACCTCTTGAATGCAATAGTTACTGGGCCCTAAGCCCCACCCTGTAAGCTTATGCTTCTTGGAGTAATCACTTTCTTGGTTGTAGAGGAACTGTCACAGTTGCCAGACTACCTGTGACCCTAAACCATCAGTCAGCATGTCCTGATGCCTACACTTTTTCTTAACCCTGAAACTAGTAGGATGATTTTTGAGATACTGACACCAAGTTTGCATAGTGTTTCTAATTCATCAAACCACATTCACATGAAAATGAAAACATGATGTACCAGAAACCGTGAGATCCAACAAAAGCACTTAGAGGGAAGTTTATAGCTAAAAATGCCTATATTATAAAACAACAAAGCAACCAGATCTCAAATACATAACTTAATGGTGCGCCTCATGGGTTTTTTGTTTGTTTGTTTGTAGTTTCTCGAGACAGGGTTTCTCTGTATAGTCTTGGCTGTCCTAGACTTGCTTTGTAGACCAGGCTGGCCTCAATCTCACAGAGATCTGACTGCCTCTACCTCCCTGAGTGCTGGGGTTACAGGTGTGTGCCACTGTGCCGGCTTACTTCATGTTTTTAAAAAGAACAAGCCGAACTTAAAATCATTAGACAGACAGAAAGAATACAGACCAGGGCAGAAATTAAATACAAATTAAATACAATAAAAAGAACTATATAAAGGATAAAGGAAACAAAAATTCACCTGAAAAGGAAAGTCTTAGCCAAACTAACTAAAAGACAGAGAAAGAAGACCCAACTTAATAAAATAAAATTAGAGGTAAGAAGAGACATGACAACATAAAGCAATGAAATTAAAAAGATCATTAGTTTGAAAACCCATATTCCAGCAAATTGGAAAATCGTAAAGAAATGGATAAATTTTCAGATATATATGACTTAACAAAATTAAACCAAGATAACATAAACAACTTAACAGATCTACAGGTAAGAAATGGGTTTATAAGAAATTGAAGAAGTAATAACAACTGAAACCCTGAACCAGGCAATCAGTTGCTGAATTCTCATGCAGTGATAAAGAAACAGCAGTGTTCCTCAAATCACTTCATAAAACTGAAAGGAACACTACCAAACATTTATGAAGCCAGTACCCCGAAACCCAAACTGAATGAGGGATACAACAACATAAAGAAAATTACCAGACAGCAACGAACACAGAGCTAACAATTCTTAATAAGACACTGTGATCCAAATTCAACAGCATAGTAAAGAGATCATTCATCATGACCACGCCAGCCTCATTCCAGATGCAAGCTTTATCAAACATATGTAAATCAGTGAGTTCAGTAATAACATAGAAATAGACTCAAGAAAGAAATCACATGATTCTCTCAATAGACACAGAAAGGATCTTTGACAAATCCAACATCTTTTTATGAAGAATAAAGAAGAATCTGGAGAAGGATTATATTTGAGCACAGCAAAGGCCACGTGTGACAGACGACAGCCAGTGTTATACCACATGAGGTAACCTCAAAGTGTTTTCTCCAAAACTGTGAATGAGGTAAGGATGTCTGTCTGTTCTCTCCACTCTAATATAGTGCTTGAAGTCTCAAACTGCGTGATATGCTTGAATGAAATGTCTTCATGAAGCCCATTATTATATGCAACAATATGCACACTGCTCATTTCCCCCTGAGAGTAGTGTCTATGGCCACGCTCTTCATTGCTCCTCTGGGCTACACTCCATCTCCTGGAGGCCACTAGCGCACATCTTCTGGGCTAGGTTGCGACTTAAGACCAGAGTCATTCTTATTCCGGCTTTCACGTGAGCACCACTGCAGCAAAACAGCTGCTTCCCTCTAGCTCCATCTCCCAAGCTCAGGCTCCCCTGCTCTTCCATTTGGATGACTGCAGTACCTTCGCTTCTCCAGCTCTCCCTGCTGAAACCCTCACACGACCACACGACCACAGCCTGATTTCGAAGGCTTGCCCATCATACCTTTTGCCTCTGTCACATGCCGAAGTGATTTCTCAAGCTCAGAAAATCTCAGCAGCAAGGTGCAATCTGGAAACATGTCATCCACTACAACCTGATCCAAGGGCTGATACTTTCCCTAAAAGGAACATCTGAGTCAGTTGGGTAGCAAACAGTCCAGTCAATGTGTTTTCACACAAAAAGGAGAGGGGGAAAATTGGACTATTCCATAGAAAATCTTTATATGAGAACCTGAGCTCCTCATTCCACTGAAGGAGCCTCTACAGCCTGAGCCCCTCTTGTAAGAAGGACATTCCAAACAGCAAGCTTGAGGGCACAGACGCTGTGTAACATAGAAAACAGAGAGAGACAGGACTGTCTGAGGATGGTCCAGCAACTCCACATGAAAATGAGACAGCTGAGGTCTCAAAGCAGAAGTCCCAATTGTCCCTAGAACAAGCCCAGAACAAACCCGGAATATATATGCTTCCCTGTCTTTACTCCAGGGCTGAAGAACAAAACAAAACAAAACAGCCTTCTAGTACAAAAAGGAAAAAAAAAAAAAAAAAAAAAAGAAAAGAAACATTCCCAAAGTGAATCCGTCCCTCCAAGAGCCATTGGATGAGGCTTCCAAACTAGACAGGGATAAAGGAAAAGGCAGCCAGGATGTAAGTACAAAGAAGACACGGGCAGGCTAGGCCAGGCACAGCCAGACAAGCTGACAGCCTGGCTGCTAGATATGAGCCATACAGAGTTCCCAGGTGCGGTTTCTCTTAACTTTACTAATGGCACAGCAGATGCACATCTGATGAAGAAGGCCTCCTGACTAGGGCGCCAGGCTTAGGAGCAGATGCACTCTCTGTCCTGGGCCCACCTCTGCTTCTCTGTTTCTGTGAGCAAACTTCTAAAGACAGGCAGTGTGACTGATCGATTTTCTCTGGTTTTCAAGGTGAATCCTCTCATTTCTTTCACAGTACATGTGATAACTTGTTATATTTTTCCATTAGGCTAAAGGAGGCAAGAAATGCCTGAATAAAATTTTCTTCTGTCTAACCCAGGCTCCCTAGTGTTACAGCCTTTAGGTTTCTACTTTAAAGGTCTGTCTTCCTGGATCAACCAGTATTTTTATACTTAACTGCTTTAAATAGTACCCACACATATGGCACCACAGTCAGGACAGAAGTTTTATTATAGGTATTGCATTCATATTCTCTTTGCCATATGTACATAAAAAAGAAAAAGAAGAAATCTTTTTTTAAATATAAAATTATAGTAAGAGTTGGTGTTAAAGGCTGCGACTTAAAAAGAACAGGTCAAATTAAAAAATGGGGACAATACTTTAATAACTAAATTATATCTAACCCCATCTAAATGTAGGGAAGAAACACTAGACAGCCATGTGTTACACTAGGACTTAAGAAGAGAAGGCACACACCGTGGCTCTGGTGAGCATTGTTTCTGCTTCACTTTGCACCTGTCACCTTGAATTGACCACACAGCACCCTAGAGGCCTCTGGAAGGCCAGGCTGAGGAGCAGGAGAGCGGGTCTTTCTCTGAACAGAAGATGGGGAGGTGTTGACGTGTACTGAAGCTGCTCGGTGCCTCTCTCCCTGTCAACTGACCCTAGAGATCACCACCACCGTGGAGCAGCCAAAGTTTTCAAAATCCTCTTACAGCTTCCTGACAACAGTCAGAACTACCTCTGCTGCTCAGAGGCATGAATCTCAACAGCCTTACTGCCGTGTACCCCAATATATTGTCGATCTTGGCAGCTCTCAAACAAGAGTGAATGGGGCAGGGGAGCGTTGGTAAAACTTCACTAATGTATGTAAAAGGAGAGAAGAAAGCATATCAAGGAAAAATAGGCATAAGAATGGTGGGGTGAGTTTTGTGACTTTTCAATACTTATAACAACTTAAAAATCGATTAACCTACAAGATAAAGCTTTAAGAATTTGGTTTATATAGTTGGGATACAAAGTGAATAAACTGTAATTAATAAAAATAAATAAATAAAAGAAAAAAATATGGTTTAAAGACTAAGTAAAATAAAGCATAAGCATTTACTCTATATGCAAATATGAGAGCCCAAGAAATAGGTTGTCCCTAAGCAGTTCAAGTAACACTCATTAAAGTTGTGAACTCAAAGATTTTCAAGCTGATTAATGGACCCTTGAGTGTTCCTAATCCCCACCCCCATTAAGATGTTCCCAAGCTCAAATCTATATTCATAATAATTCTAAGAGGCTACTTGCATTCCTATCAGGTTGACATGACCCTGGTAACTGAAACCATATTAGGCAAAACTGGGCTCCTTAGCTGGAGTTAAGGCAGTGACACCAAGGTGCCCCAGCCGACAATGTACCCTTGCAAGTTTCACTTAAGATATCCCTGCTCAGTGGTGCTAGAGGGATGGCTCAGAGGTCAAGAACATTTGCTGATCATGCAGAGGACCTGGCTTCGGTTTCCAGAATCTACAAGGCAGCTAACAGTTGCCTGTAGCTCCAGTTTCCAGAGCTCTCTTCTGGCCTCCATGGGTACCAGGCACATACAATGAACATAAGTGTAGTCACTCACACATACACATAAATGATATTTAGTTAAAAAAAAAAGCACACAAACAACAAAAACACAAAGAAAAAAAAATTAACCCACCAAACAAAAAAACATTATCCTTGCTCAAGCAGTAAAAGCAATGAATTTTACTTAAGTCTGGATCCTGAATGCAGTTGTCACAGCTCTGTGTGAAGGAAGGGTGCTTATCCAGTTACTGCTGTTGTACCTTGAGGCACAGACATCATCCAGGAAGCAGAGACTGAGTGTTGAGAGGAACGAGCACTTTTGCTCGGCATGCTCAAGGCCCAAGTACACATAGCATCCCTATTAGTCAGTGTTTACTAGGCCAAATTCTTAACATTCACATCTAAGCACTTAGCGCTAAGTTTTCACTGCTACTCTTGGCTACCACTGCGGTACAGAGTGCCAAGCTAGGCCACGGAGGTCACAGTGACCTAGTAGCAAACCTGCTCACCACCAAGGTGCTGCCTCAGGGAAGGGGGGTGGGTGTCAGGGCACTCTGAGCCTCACTGGTACGCATGGGGCTCCTACTGTACTGACAGAAATTCACTGAAAAGAAGTGTGTCCTCTACCCACCCCTGTAAATACCCCAAGTGCGGAACTCACCTCTTTGCCAGCCTTTATGAGGTAGTGAAGGAATAGGAACAGAGGATCCATGGGTGTGGCAAAATGGAGAAGGCCCCCTGCAGATGAAGAAGAACAAAGAGGTATGCCTTACAAGGACCATTTGGTTATTTCATTCTCCAGGGTGAGCTGTACCTGAAATCCCACATTCAGAAAGCCTTCTTGCACATGCCTACGACACCCGCCCATTTGACAGCACATGCGACCCACAGCTTGTGCGTCCCATCAGGCAAACCCAGGTTTCAAGAAACACCTCGGTTTAAGTGCCCTCATCTCCTACAGTTAGATTCTGACCTCCTCCTTCAGTCTAGAAAGGCTTCGAACCCCCGAGTGAAGAGAACTAAAACGTTAGAAACCACTTCTGACTTTTCATTTCAACTTTGGAATCATTTTATAGGCCTCCCTGAAGAGAGTAGATGTGTCAGGAAACACAGAACTGTGAGCTAGAGAGCTCAGGAAGCCTTATCAGCCAGTCGGTAAAATGACAGAGCCACTTCCCACTGTGCACGTGGGGGAAGCCTGGGGAAAGGTCAGCATGCTCTGGAGCAGAGCTTCTGTTGTGGTCTGAGGTTCCGGACTGCAGATGGGTAAGGCTCCCAGTCTAATCCACCACCCCAGATGATTCCCTGACCCAGAAGACAACCTGAGCAGCAACCTATGCCAGCCAAGTGAAAACTCTGCCCTCCACACAGGGCTCTGCCTCTTCCTCTCTCAGACGCAGAGACCTGCTCTCCACACACTTGAACCAGGAAAGTGCGGTCATTAAAAGCAGTTCTCTTGCTTCTACACAACCTTTTAATTTTGGTTTTAGGGAAGACATATGCTCAATTTTAACACCTAATAGAACAATCTATCTACACATGCAAGACATCTTAACCTAAATTGTGTCAGTGTGTGTAGCAAGCAAATAATTAAGGAGGCAACGTATGACACCATTTGACTGTCTGGAAAAGTAGGTCAGCAAACAACCTATCTGAAGCTTTGAGTTCATTTCACATGATGCATCCTTTATCTGCAGGAATTATGAACACGTTTCTGAAGCTGAATACCAATAGCCTGGTAGCCATGACTATTTTTTAAAAGAATAAATTTAAAACAAAACTGTTCTTGAAAAGTCTCTGAGGAAGAGTGGTCTATGAGCCAGGCTGTCCAGGCTCCATCATTGCTTTGCTATACTCTCCAGCTTCCATCTGACATTCTGCAGCCACAGCCAGTGCGAGCTGTGAGTTGGCCAGCAGCTGGAGCCCTCACAGACTGCCTAATGAACAATAGAAGGGGACAGCGCACTTCCTACCTCCTCAACTATGTACAAACTACACTTCATTTAAAATTTTTTTTTCTTTATTTTTATGAATGTGTGTGTGTTTGTGTGTGTATGAACACACACATGTGCACACTTTGCTGCAGGTGCCTATAGACGCCCAGGAGGGCATCGGATCCCTCGGAGAGGAGGGACCATGACCTCTCTTCCTCTTGCTCTCTCTTTCTCTCTTCGGTTCTTGGCCATGAAGTGAATGGTTTTGCCACATGGTGCCACTATGAATTGCTACCTCAGAGCCAATCAGCCTAAGGAACTGTGGATTGAGACCTCAGAACTGTGAGCCACAGCACACCTTCCCTTCTGACGAGTGGACAGTCTAGGATAGGTGTTTATTATACAACAGTGACAGGAAAGCTGGCTAAACGAGGGCACTGCCATGAGAAACCATTTTTTAAAAAGTTGTGACATTCTAGTATGTTTCAGAAACTGTATCAGTTTGCTCGGGAAATAATGTTAAAATCTCTCTAAAGAAAGTGTTTCCAATGAACTCAGCCTGCACTCTGAGGCACACAGGGCACCCAGCTCTTGCCAGAGGATGTGTTAGTGTTTAAGGAGATAAATCAGAATTGTCATTTTTATCATGTCAACATGTGACAACCTGACTTAGCTTCACTTGATCTATAAACCTTTATAAATAAATAAATATATGTCTGTGTGATATAAATAATTCCTCACTTACCTGATTGAACTGATTGATTTATAAACCAAGAATGGTGTTTTTCCTTGAAAACTTTTATTTCAAACAGCTGCTGTAGACACATGTCGAGTAAGTACATGGCTCCTTCCCCTGTAACACAGGCAGGCTTAGTATTCATCACCTCTCTCTCTCTCACACACGTACACACACGTATACACACATGCGTACACACACACACATATGTCAATAGTCTGTACAATAGTTCCAAGGAATGCTCCTAACAGGAACCTAGACATATGGAGTCATGCTCTACACTGGCAGACTCCAAGGAAAGCTGATAGGTATTAGGCACAGACATTCAATTCAGCAACATGATCCTCACTGTGCCATAAACGTGCAAGGCACAAGTCATTCCCCCTGACTGTTCCTTAGCCTCCTAATGGTTCAGACAGGTGTGTGAGCTAGTGTCTGGGTCTGTCCCTATGTCAGCATGCAGCTCGCTTGCCAGAGGAGCAAAAGCTAGAACCAAGCCCTCAGATGCCACCAGCCACTCTACTGGGAAAGGGAAGGACACTCTTCAAGCCTTAGTCACCTGAATGGGATTTTCCATTTTATTCTTTTAGACGTGGGGAGGGGAGAGGAGAGCTAGAAGTCAGCTCAGGCAGTGGTAGAGCACTTGCCTAGCATGTGCCAGGTCTGGGATGCAGATGTGTGGGACAAGAGGGCCGAAGCCTGTGCCTATCTGAGGCTTTACCCCTAACTCAGAGCCAGGCTCAGTCTTCAGTAACATGGGCCTACATGGTGGGGGAAAGGGGGTAATAAGGATGCATACCTGATGATACCTCTCAACTCATAAAATCCTTTTCTAACCACAGAGCAACCTCTGGACTCGCATGCTGAATGTGACATGCAGAAGTGGTATTACCCTTATTATACCTCTGCTTGCTCATCTGCATGTGGAGAGCAGTACTGACTCCACCTCAGAAGGGTTTTGTGAGGACTGAAAAAAAATAAGACACCCATACATTTCCTAGGTAGTGACCTAGGATAGTAAGCAGTCAGCTTAGCTCTTAGTTTTTCCTTGGCCAATAGTGAAAATAAAACGGCCATGCCTCCATCTAGATGGACTCGGAGTTGTGGGTGAAGATGCCTTCTCTTGTTAGGTGCCTCAGAACAGGGCCTCCTGGAGCTTCTCCTGAATTCCTCCTCCCTGCTCTGGCTGAGGCTCAGCAGGCATATTCCATTTTACTTTGAGGAAAGATACTAGAGGAAGGGGTCAGGGTGCCTGTTTTTGTTCTGTTCTGTTTTCCTCTCTTGTTTGCTTTACACACCTTTCCAGCAAAGCACTACCCGTGAGCTTTCCCCCATCTGTTGTGCGTTATAGTCACAAGGACAGCTAAGACTTAGAGGTATCAGGTAGAGTCTACTCAGGTCTTTCAACAAGAGGGAAATCCAGTGTCACCACAGGCGGGGTGAGTGTAACATTTTTGCCTCGGAATTAAAAAATTAAACCGAAAACGTGAATATAAAATTAAAAACACCTATCTCCCAATAAAACATAAAGCTCTCCAATATTCAATGATTTTAATAAAAGAAAAACCATCATCCTTTCTGGTCAGAGTAAAAGCAAGAACAGCTGAAAATGAAGCCAACCAGAATTGTGACGTGTCAAAGACGGCCTTCTGTGTTCTCACTCTGCTTGTTTACTGTACAACACAAAGTGAATATAAATGCAGGCTGGTGTTGGGCAAGCACTCTAAGAAAAGCTGGCATAAGAAAGCCAAAGAAAATCAATCTGTTTCCAGAAAGAAACCAAACATGCAACTTTTGCATGTCACCAACATTTCTAACCATTCAGCAGTCTGTGGGTGAAAACTAGAAAGACATTCTTTACAGTGTTTATCGTGATTTTGTTTCTCACTGTAGGATGCCATCTGAACCTTTGAGGACAGCACGCAGGCCCACAAACACTCCCCACATTTCGCACAATGCTGGAAACATTCAGGCGGACGAGGGGATTAGAGGGAAGCGAAACCCACCTGAGCGCGGGTTGACCAGTTTGACAAACAGGACGCCACTCTTCATCTTCTTCGAGGCATCTTTTAAATACTCTGAAAAGAAACGGTGAACATTGAGACATCTGAACACGGTCCTCCCTTTACCCTCTTTTCCTTTTTGCCACTTACGCAATCTTTCTAAGAATTTTACTCCCTCAGGCCTGAGCCCGGTGACCCTCGGCAAACAAGTGTTTTCAGTGTAAGCTACAGTGAATCCTGAGGTAGGTTAATGTGCCTCTAGGGGACGGGATGAGGGGCAGGCTCAGATGCTGTAAGCGTGTCACCTTAGCCAACACTCTTCCCCCCAGTCCCAATCTCCTTTTAAAAGATGGTGATGACAATATATCTTTTAAAAACTTAGACTAAGTAGTCAAAAATACTTACTGCAATTGAACAGAAATCCAAAAGAAATCATAGCTGTTATCATGAAGGTCATTTTAAAAATAAATATTTCATAGACATCTCTTTTTCATTTCTGACAACAATTAGTTAATCATATCCCTTGTTCATTTTCTCAGTGGGATTGTCATCTTAAAAAAAAAAAAACTATTATACAATGAAGACTGTGTTTTAGCTCTATTTGTTTATTCTTAGGTTTTGCCATAGTAAAGGCATAATATTTTTGTGTAATTCTATTTTTCATTATTCTTGTATCTTCTGCATCATACTTTAGAAAGCCTTTTTCCTCAAAGGTATGTGTATTTGCTATATTTTCTGTGCATACTTATACTTAGGCAATTCACAATATAGCCTGGGTACAAGATATGGAAAAGGAATGTAACTTTAATTTTTAATGGCTTGTCCATCTGTATCAAAACCACTGAACGAACCCACCATGAAAACCTTTACAGTAGCCATTTAAATACATTTGTGGTCTGTCTGTCTGCTTTGCTAACCTGTGTCTTAATGTCATCACCTTCAAGACTTTAATTATAATGGATTTAATCTGTAGAAAGCAAGTTTCTGCACTGTTTCTTCTACAGTATCTGACTGTCAACATTTTAATTACATAGATTAAAACAAGCAAACCAAGATGATGCCTTCAATAGACTAAGCAGCACAGTCAAAACTCACACAGGTTCCAAAGGAACAAGGGACCCTAGGCAGCCAAGGAGCACAATCCATTTACACAAGAATACCCCAGGAAGGTGGTCAAGGGCACAGCTGGTCTACACAAGAGCACCCACAGAGGTCTTGGGCTTATTCTCTTTGCTCTGTCCATTCCATATGCACACAGATACTACAAGTATTTGAGAAATTACGTGGCTTAGCCATAAACAGAAGACAACTTTTTTTGAACAGTAATACAAAATCCATAAACAAGAAGATCTCATTTCAAGATTTCTACTTTCAGCTAAGATAGAGGAATGGGAACTCAACAGAAGACCATCACACAAACCACGATGCTTCTGTTCTAAAGACACTCAACAGCAGCCATGCAGAACGGTGGGCTCACTGCCCTGGCCTATTTCCTTCAGAGCATTTCCAGGGCCTGATGCAGAGGAGCGAGGCAAAGCCTGGCTGATTTAGAGCTGATGTGATAGAGCAGAGAGCTCCAAAGACAAGAGGGTGGCCGAGTCCACAATGAGGCAGGCTGATAAAAACCTGATCCCGGGTGTGTGCAGTGGGGCCTCTCTGAGCATTCATCAGGAAACTGCTTTTCACTTTCATGTGCACACGAGAGACTCCCCATGAGAATCAGAGGACACAACTCACACTCATTTTACCCATTTTTCATGGTCTCAGGGCATCAGGTAGAACACTGAACAGGTATTGCCTCGGTAGGAGAGAATGATTACCCATGATTGACAGCTGCTACAATCTTGTCACACTCATTAAAAAGCAATGGCTAAAAGATCAGACTACTTCTTGCCAAGTAACTTATCTTTGAAGTTCAAAAAGATTTAAGAATACAAAAATATTCAACAAAAGGTAAATTCACGTCTGGCACTTAATGAAATATTACTAAATATTCAAAGATATGGACAAATAGGGCACATTTGTTTCACAAATATGATGAGACGTAGAAAAAAGGTCAATTGTTGCAAAAGAGATTGGTATTATTTGGAATATTAAAGGTAAAGGAAATGGCACAGAAACATACATCATGCATAAAACATTAAAGGGACAAAACACTTTTAAATGATCTAAACTAAAATGCTAAAGAAGAAAAACCTGAGAGTTGGAATTAATGGCAGAAGAGAAACCAACTTGAAGATTTAGTAACAGAAAGCACTCTGAAAGTACAGAAAAATTTTAAAAAGAAATCTAATCTACAGACCAGCTTCAAACCTTACTGTGTGTGTGACAGAAGCTTTCAAAAGAGGAAAAAAAAAAAAAAAAAGAAGACAAACATATCTGAAAAAGCACATGGAAAATGCTTCCAATTTGAGTTAAACTATAAACACTCCCATCCAGGAAACTCTGTGATCCCAAAGCACACAAAGAAGAAAAAAAAATAACATAATCACTAGTTCAAAACCAATAGTAAAAAGAAAAACTTTAAAAGCAACCAGAGGGGGAGGGGAGGGGAAAGGGAGAGAAAGGGAAGGGGAGAAGATGGTCACAGTATGAACAGAGAAGGAATACCAAGGATGATGGCAAAGCATGTGAGAACAATGAAAGCCAGACGATAATCCAGAAACATCCATAAAAACACCATAACCGAAGAGAAACTACCTTTGGAAAAGGAGGGTGGAAAATAAGACTTCAGGCATACAAGAGCTGAAAGAAATAATCAGCAACACATGCACATCACAAGGAATGCGAAGGGAAATCGTTCTGGCAGAAGGATGGTGAAGCCAGATGCAAGAACCTAAACAGGAGAATGTGTGCTCAAAAAGTGGTTGTTCTTATTATTTTAATCTCTTTAGGATTATTGACGGCTTAAGTTAAAATAATGTAGTGTTTACATCATATGTACACAGCAAATGTCTGGCAAGAAATGTAAGGATCCTATCTTGTAAGTTTCTTGTGCCATGTGGGAAGTGATAAACAGCACCTGGAGGTAGGCATGACCAACTACATACATGTATGAGAAACTCTATGGCAGTCACTAAAATCATGAAACCCAAAAAACCGACACAAATAAGACAATAAAGGAGATGAAACTGAATCATGAAAAATAACCATTAAAAAAAAAAAGAGGGCAAAATAGATAAAGACACACATGATAAATGGGAAACAGCAGGACAGCAGATTCAGCCCCAGCTACATGAATAATTACATCCACGTGCCAACAGTTTGAACATCCCAACGATAAGCAGAAATCAGACCAAATTAAGAAACAAGAGGGAAACTACACGTTGCCCACAGGAACCACACACAAACACAGAGACACAAGAAGAATGGAAGAGAAGCAGATGCAAAAACTTTACAGGGAGCTTCACTTTATAGTGAGTGAAGGGTCACTTAATGAAGAAGGCGTGACACCCTAAATGCTTCCTCACCAAACACAAGCTGCAGAACATGCAAAGCACACACGAACTGGATTCTCTGGACACCATTCCCTGACAGCCACTAATCTGTCCTCCCTCCCCCCAGTCTGTTAAGAATGTTCCATAAAGAGAGCGATGCAGGTTCAACTGTCAGAAGCCCTTAAGACTCTTTCTAGAATGACATGTCTACACTGAAATGGAAATTAGAAAGTTTGGTCCTGTTAGAGCTTTCTAAAATACAAAAGGAAGTTGCTTCCTGCCCCCACGTTTCTTGCCTCTCTCTCTGTGTCTCAAGGCACAGGAAAGCTGACAGCTTCCTCATCCCTCTGGGCAACGGCAAACTTTCAACGGGGAAGTTGATGAATTAGTTCGACTACTTCCTTTTATCACGAAAAAACTGTACTGAGTGCTTCTCTTACAGCTTCCCCATTCCTCCAGAGCCCCAAATAATTAAAAATTGAAATGCCAAGTCAAAAAAAAAAAAAAACTTTCTAGAAACTCCCCCAAAGCAGCAGCGCTTTATCTTTTCCACAAAGAGCAGTGAGAAGGTTGTCAACGGCCCATAATGCCAGGCTGTAAGGATGGCTGCAGCTCCAGAGGACAAACAATAATTGGTGTGCCATGCTGAAAATGCCCATGTCTTCTGCAACACACAGGCAGACGGCATGAAGATTTCCAGTTATGGGGAAGATCATATTTCCTCACAAAATAACCAGCTGCTGGACTGAATAACATAAAATCAGCTCCCAATGGGCTCAAATGTTCAAATATGAAATTACCAGGAGAATATACCTGTGTTTTCATCTGACTGAAGACTTTTCTGGGACCTAATTTCAAAAGTATAAACAACAAAGGCCAAGGTAACAGGTGGCATTGCATCACGCAGAAGTTTCTCCATGCAATCGGAGAACAATCGAAAGAGGCAAGCAATCCATCCGTAGCGATGTTAATCACCGTGCTCCCTAAAGAGCCAAAGACGTTCTTCAATATACTGCAGAATTTTCAGAAATAAACATATTTAAAATAGGCAACGATTTTTGCCTAATGAAAAATCCTGACAACAACAAACTCACAATGACCAATGCCACCAGGATCTAGCCTCTGGCTCGCGTTAGCATCCTGATGGGACAGTATCACTGGCCAAGCTGGCCTTCCCTAAATGCCTTCTCAGGGATAGAGCTCCATGCAGGCGCAGCAGGATGAAAAGCAGCCATCCAGTCCCAAGCCACCTTCTTCCTCAGTTCTCGTTCTACTCGTGCTGTTTCAGGCTAGGAATATCTTACAAATAAAACTGCTGCCCCTACAGAAGCTTTGTCCAGTACACCCCTTACCCTTGTCTACGTCTCTACCCTTGCCCATCAATCCCCCTACCTCTGTATCATCTAGCTACCATTGGGCAGTAAAGGACCCGCACCCCCACCCTGCTGCAAACTGGCAGCCCCGGTATAGAACTGTATTACCCAAAGGAAATGAAGAGCATTACGTAAATGTGAGTCCAACACTCTACTTAAATTTTTCCTAGAAGCCACCTTAAGCAGAGGTAAAAGAAAATTTATTGATATACATTATTTACCCCAATTTACCCAAAATACTTTCATTCCACCACACACACATATG